GCAAGCACGAGTGGCTTGCATCTTCAGAAGTGGTTTGCTTGAACGCTTACACTGTTCTCATCAGAACCCGCGTTCAGTTCTTCCGCAGAACTGAACGCGGTCAGGAATACATTCCATTTTACGACGTCCTAAAAACCCGAAAAACCCATTAGTTTCAAGGAATGGCCTCGAAAGTCTATCTCTTTTGATTTCACAAAGTTTGTTCATTATTTGCGTATTAAAATTATCATGTCGAATACAGTTTGGATTGATTCATCTGATCAAGCCGCATTTTTAAAACGTAAATTAATGCGTCATTATTGATTAAGTTCATCTAATTATTTCTATGTTACTTCACTATAATTAATTAATTAATGGGCCTTCATTTGTTCGATTTATTGAATAATATAAACGCAATGCAAACTTTTGTTTATTTTAATTGATGTGGGGGATTAAAGCATAAAATTTGCAACTAATGCGACCAATTCGATTGGGTCTAACTCTAGAGGCAAGTTTCTTCTGTAAAATTGCCCAAACAAGTTAAAATGTTTCACGGTTTCTGTTAATTATTATCATCGGTTTTGCATAATGATTTGCAATATTGTCTGAATCGTTTTAATTTCGTAGAACACGACCAAACAGGACAAGCTGTATAGTTGGTCTGTGTTTCAAAACTCGTAATTTCCCATCATTGTTTTTTATTTAAAGTTTTAAATACATTTCCATACAAAACTTTATTTTATCGAAACTTTTCAACTAAAAATGTTTATTAAAACTAAATTAGTAATTTTAAGATGGAGAGCATTTCCATCAATAAAAGAGCTGATTACAAACCGCGGAAAATTATGTTAAAAATGTCTGCAGTATACTATACAGGGTGATTCTTTTCTATTTATAATACATGAACAAATTGAAAGTTGCGTATTGATCTCGATGTCGCTCTCTTGATACAGATTAAGAATGAAAAAATGACTTTTGGTCGCATTTTACAATATAAAACTGCTAAGAGTGAAATGACAGGAATATTTTGAACATACAGGGTGTCATAGCTGAAATGTGCAGAGTAGAGATTTTTAAAATTCACGTCAAAGTGCGTTTCTTGGTCAGTGGAGGCAAATTTTAGATTTGTACCTTTGTAAAACCTAAATAACATTATCCAAAAGACACAAAATAACTTTTATGATATCAAAAGAAACATACTTTCGAGGCCATTCATTGAAATTAATGGGTTTTTTGGGTTTTTA